GTTTTCCTGTACCCTGCTCTGTGCCATGGAGCTTCCCACACATTTTCTCCTTCATTTCACTCTATTAAAGCACTAATTGATTGACCAGTTCACGATAGCCCAGCTCTCTCCCCCGGGGACGTCATTCCATTTGTAGCGACAACTGAAAACAGATTATGGATGGGCAGCTCCCCGTGCGGAATCACTAAAGCGGCGGTGGTGGCCGCACCACGTGCACGACACCGCCGTGTCCCCATGCGACCGCTTCCCTCCTCCTGCCCGCGCACGGCCGGGAACGGCCGCACCGCCCCGTGCCAACCAAGTGGCTCTTTGCACCGGACTGTTCCCCGGCGTGGAGCACATCCTAGAGGACTGCTCAGCTTGCTGGTCTCAGGAGCACTGGGAAGTAGGTGCTCTATCCCATCCCTGCCTATTGCTCTTTCCCTGGCACAGGTGGCTGCAGGTTCTGTCTTCAGCTGCACCCCATCTTCATCGAAGTCAGAAAAGTGCAGGTATCCTGTCCCGGAGCAGAGGTCCTTGYGGAGGCATGAGGAAAAGGAGAAGTTTCCCAAGCCCCCAGAGTACAGTTGGTTGCAGAGTCGATCTGCTAACAAGACCTGCCCCACCTTGGTGGGGTGATTGCAACGGTTAAACCAGGAGATTTCTGAGCAGCATCTCCCCAGCCCAAAGTACCATGTTGATATTCCAGTCCTCAGGCTCCCGCGAAGCAGCCTTATTTATTCCAAAGCAAATCGCCTCTTCCTGAAATCCAGTAAATTACACTGTGTGATACCCAAGGCGACAAACGGGCATCAAGTCTGAGCGGATGATGCAGTGCCTTTCCCCGCTGCAAGACAAACTTTCCTGATATCCTTGCTCAGGTCATTCATTAGCACCAGCTGCAAGGATATTGTTGCAGCTTCCACGTGCACACCATAAAGAGGAAAGAAAACAAAAAGAGCAGGCAGCCTATTGCTCTCCAACGATCACTGTATGGAGTACGGACTTTGCAAAATAAGCTCATGAACTCTGCTGGGTATGGAACATATTCTGCACCTAAGACAGACACAGTCCTGTTGTTTAACAATTCAAATCTAAGGAAAAAAAATGGTTATGACTTCCAAAAGCATTTTAAACAGGACAAAGAGGTCCATTTTAAATAAAAGCCTGTATTCCAACGTTACTATTTCTCTTACTTTCTGTCCCTTCTGCCAGGGACTGCAGGTCCATTACGCTGCCTGCCTGAGAACTATTGAACATTTGTTCCCAGTGGTCTCTGCACTTGAAAGCACTCTGGACAAAAAAAACATAAATGAGCACAAAAGCCTTGTTCCTCCCCTTTCTTTTTATCCTTCTCTGCTTCAGAACAGCACAACACAGCAAGCAGGTTTGGGTTTTGGTTGACAATAAATCCAAAAAAGAGCTAACATTTACTAGCAGTGATGTTTGTCTTTTCTGTAGTGCTCTTCACCTAAATAAAGCACTTYTGGGGCCATAAAAATGGCCCCAAAAGGCCCCAAGCCCACTTGTACCAAGGCCCATGACCTGCGTGCACAATTGGAACTAGATTCATGTCCCACGAACTCCTGAAACACGAATTCCCAGGGCTGAAAATGACCATCTCTCTGATCATGTAGCAGCTACCAAATCACTGCAACTTACTGCTTGGCACAGGAAAGAAAACCAACACCCAGTGTGAGCCACGTCAGGAATATCTGGGAGGCAGCTGGCAGAGGAAGGTACGCAGAGGGTGGCAATTCTTGAATAAATACAGGAAAAAGATGGAGAGGGAAAGGGGCAGTAATCCTACATGAGGGCAAGGAGCTGCTGGGTGTGGGCACAGCTGCGTATTTAAGAGTGAACACTTTCACAAATCCCYGCCTGTTGTGACTCATGCTCTTGTGAAAGGCTTTGGTAACAGCAGAAGTTTTCTTTGGCCAGGTAGACACAGGCTGCGCCGCGGCGGGAATGGCATTTCCCTGCGTGGGTTTCCTTGCTTTCTGTCCRCAAATAAGCTACAGATGTGTGTGTACATTTTACTTTCACTTGCAAAGAGTCAGCATGAGGAAAGGGAAACCATTGGGGTAGAGAACGCAGGGCGCCTGGAGACGTGCTCCGTGAAACTGCTTCCCGAGCACTATGGCTCGCTAGAGGTTTTGAGGAAGGGCAGATTTTCCAAGGGAAAGTCAATGTTTCCTCAGCTCTCCCGATATCACTGCTCTCTACTCACTTGGCCTGAAATAATATTTGCATGGATAATTCTCCCTCCTGCCACACACCTCTCCAGCCCTCCTGAGAGACCTCGGGGAGCTGCTCTAACTGGAGCAGAACTGATCGCCGCTACCTGGGAAAGCAGGAGTCAGCTGCCTCCACCGCAAACTGATATGACTCAATTTAAAGACCACATGGGAAATCARGGAGGGAAAATATATCTGAGAGACCCTCTGTGTCTCTAATACCTGCCGATACCCAGGTCTCAGCAGATGCCAACTCTCATTCTTCAGGCAATGCATACAGCAGGAGCAGCACATCATCTCATTATTTCAAGTCTGTCTCCACCATGGGTGATCCCTTTCCTCCATTCCTTACTCTTCCAGTGTTTAGGCCCCCTCTTTGTCTCCTGCAGCCACACAGACATTACTGTAAGATCCTCTGCATCTTATGCCATCTGGATCCGCCTTCCTCTATCCCACCTCCTCACCCTGAGTTTCATCTGTAAATGCCTCTTCAGGCCCTCATCTCTTTCTTCGAATTCCTCTCCCCTTCTGCTGCTGTTTATTATTTAACTCTGTCATTGCATTATTTAACGCACTATTAAAGCACGCTTGGAAGAGAGTCTGCACTAAAGTGCCACAGCAGAAGAAGCTGGACCCTCAGCAAAAATAGCCCAGAAGCCAAAATCAGGACAGCTGGGGAAAAGCTGTTTGGCTGGAAGAGAGGAACACAATTTCTGGGTGCCAACATCTATTTTSTCCCCGTGTGCCCAACACAAGAGCCTCTTCAAGATGTCTTTTGCTGCATGCAGCTTTGGGGAGAGGTTCCCCAAAGTTCAGCCAGCTATTCCTGAAGATCGAGTTCCTTTCCTTTTGGAAACCAAGCAACAAGTAAGCATCAAATCTGCTGTAATATCCCATGAGTMCCTCTTAATGCTGGACCACAGCCAGTGCTGTAGCAGAGGACAAATATTGGTAAATCAGGGACACCCAGCCAATGGGCTAATGGACTGTGACACCCGTCCCTGTGCCATGCAGGTCCATGTAGAATCCTGGCTGAGGCACAGAAGACACCTTCCCTTCCCAGGCTTACCCTAGTTTACCAAGTTTTGCATTGCAATCTTGAAATAAGCCATTCCCTTTCCAGACCTCATGTTCTCCCCATGTCTAAAACAGCAGCTTGGATTTGGACTCTCCTGCAAAGTGCTTTGAAATCCAGGAGTGTACTGCATACAGAGGCAGTGCTAACTGCTGATTATGTGAGTTCTTGACACTCTTCTTATTCAACCCGCCACTGACCTGTGCAAAAAAATGGATATGAACGCACACATGGTAGGGAACCAAGGGTTCTGGGCAGAAAAAGTAAAGCCAAACCCTAACCAAGGAGTCTCTCTGYTGTAAAACCAGATCATACTCCTGTTTCCTTCCTCTCAAACCTCTGAGTGAACTCACTGTAGACATTTAAATGGGTTAACCTCTGAGCTGAATTTTAGGGAGGGCTCCAGTCCTCTCTGCTTCCCCATCCAAGAGCTCAGGTCAGGAATATCATTTTTCCATGGGCACACGTGCTCCTTGAGTGGCTCCTGTGAAGTGAGTCTTGCCATGAGGCTCTTGAAGACACAGACTGTTTCATGAGACGAGCTAGCATTTCCTCCCCTGCCCATTAGTCACGCGTGGTGAGGAGGCTCATGGGACCAAAGGGAGGCAATAAAAACATTAATGATCGCTACAGTCCTACCAGGCATAGCGTGAGTTCAACCACTGCCTCCCCTCCAGATACACTATAAACCACTGCGCCTTGCCAATGCCAAGCGCTTGCTTTGACAACTGAATGCTGGAATCCAGACCAGCGTTTCCAAGACTGTCTGTATCATCTGCCAGGAGGCCAAGAACAAGTTTTAAAGGACTGTAAAAGACTATTACCAAACTCCACACAGTTCAGCCTGAGTAGTGCCAAAGGATAGTAGCAGAAGACAGAAATGCTTCCAGGTTTGACTCAATGCACAGTAGTAGCCCAGGTTCATCAGCAAGCAAAGATTGCTGAGCGATCAACAAAACAAGCAGTAATCTCCCAGGAAAATACACACCTAATCCATTGGCAGGCAACGTGCCACACGATGTTTGGGAGATTTGTAATCCCTCCCACAATGGCCTGGATTGTCCCTGTTTTCCCAGGAAGGTCTAACCCTGACTGAATTCACAGCACAAGGCAGCTATGCAGTGCAAAATCTGCCTTCCATCCCATGCCTGAAGCAGGTAGGACCAGAATGACACAACAACACGGGTACAACTGGTATGGACCCTGCACACAGCTGTCCTTGCCCTGGACCTGAATTAACCACAGAAACATTGAGAAACAATGACCTGCACAGCACACACTCGGTCTGCTGGGTGCACCATTAGCCACAGCCAAGCAGATGATGAACAGCAGTGCCTTTCTGTGAGCAGCCGGGCAGGTTCAAGGTTTCTAAATCAAAAAATAATTAATCTAATGTTTTTTCTCTTCCAAAAATGAATTCCTAAATGTCCCCAAATGTGTTGCAAAAATAACTCAGTGCTTTGCTGCATTCTACCACAGTTCAGCCGCAGCCGCTATCACGCATGCTCTTTCTCTTCCTCCTCGGTGAGAGGAGATCACTCCAGCACCGTGGCACCAAGTTATGCAGTGCACATCACAAGGCAGCTCAACAGCCCTTACCCTGGCATGCCTGTTCAGAAAAACACATCATGCTTCCCAACAAATCACTTCGAATTTGGAAGCCATTGATACTCCTTGGCTAGTGTTGCATTTAACAGATTACTACTTACCTGCCAAAATATGCTGTCTATTGTATTTCCCAGAAAGCCATCTCTGCCTTCTGATGACACCAGCTTAGGTCCCAGAATGGTCATAAATTCATCAAAATCAACCTGGCCATCCCCTGAAATGAAAGAGAAAGATCAATGTTTTCATTAAAGTACGACTTAGTGCCCGGGTCTGCTATGTGAGTCTGGACCTGATACGTGTTGAGAACCCATGTGCTCAATATGTATGTACCTCCTACATCAACTTCATGGTACATAAAGACTCAACATTCATCATCATCCCAATGAAAGACCAACATAACATCCCAAATTAGGACCAGCTAGTGATGAACAGGCCATTTCTGAATCCCAGAATGTTTACAGGCAAATCGCTATTCAAGAAGACAACCAGTTTCAGCAAGAGGACAGCAGCCAGGAGCGCTGCCAGGGTTCTTCTTTGCTGAACCAGACACTGAACAGTGCGGTCTCTGCACAGCTTTTACAGGGCCAACTCCATCCTCCAGAGGCAGGAGCACACGGAGGAGGAAGAGCCAGACTATTACGAATCCACAAGGCATTTCATTTCAGCTTTCCATCAGCATCTGTCTCTTAAAAGGCCTGTGTGCTCAGCATGCCGAGCAGACAGTGTAGACACCGCTTCGGTGCCATTAGCAGGAAGAGGAGGCTGCTCTTGCCATTAATGAACTAAGCCTACGCAGTCCCAAGCCCCTGCAGTATATTGTAAGTTTTGTAAATGAGGCATGTGGCTGTTTGAAGTATATCCAAGCATTTTATCAAATATAGCTCTTCCCTTGGAGAACTTCAGGGATGCTTAATGAAAATCACCAAACGAGAAGGAAATTCATGTCTGTTAAAGGATCATAAAAATACCTGCCCCTCTCAACAGCGTGGTTCAATGCTTAGATGCCTCTCCTTTCTTCTGTCTGGACACATATTCCCTTACACTTCACCTCCCCATCCCATCCCACCACTGCAGCAAGGGAAAAACCCCGGCCAGGCTCATTCCTTCCCACATTACCCCAGAGCAGGGCTTATCTTTTCCAGATGCAAAACCCACCGAACAGAACCATTTCTCTCTTTCCCCAGCCAAGTCTCCCATCTCAGGGAGCTGTCTCTTTCGCTCCATCCCATTCCTGCTAGTCTAAGAGAGACCAGGTTTCATTGGAAGAAAAAAAAGGAAAAAAAAAGTCTGTTTTTAGACCAGTTGACACAAATGAATATATTAGCCCATCTTCAAGTCTGGAAACAGAAGCCACAACCATAAGACTGTGTGGATTTTTGCTTTAAATCCAACCTGAAATCACTGCATCCACCTTTCCATGCAGCTGCTGTTACTAATCTGGCGGTATAAGGAGGGTCTAAAACCACTTGGCTGAAGCAGCTCAGTGCAATGGTCACCATTCCATTGCCACTGTTGATGGCAGTGGCCCCGTGTGATGACTTTAYTGTTCGTGCTGTGTGCTGCCCGCATTTGTTCTTTTTGTTATATTTCATATTCTTGATCTGCGCGCACACACCACTGATTGGAATCTCTCTGCGGCCTTATCTGCACCGAAACACAATGTTAAATAAGCAGACTTTAAAGCGGCTCCTTTTCCAGAATGAGCATCTCTACACATTGAAGGGCTTAGCCCATAATTTCATGAAGGCAAGACTGAATATCCTGGAGGAGAGACAGTGAATGGAGCTCTGAAGAGAAACCCAGGAGGGATTGATAAGAGCTTTGATCCTGCAAGCGGCTTTAGTGCAGCACAGCAGACAGGGTGCAAGAAGGTTTGCAGGGCTCAGCATGGGGCAGGAAGGAACTCAGGGCAGGGACAGCTCATTAAGCGGAAAAAGAAAAAGAGTGGGGACCCYGTCACTCCGAAAGCCATTCTTTAAAACATTCATAGGCCGCAGGAAAATGTGCTCTTTCCGTTGCTCCCATGGGAGACATCAGTGGATAACATCAAGTCGGGTTGTATCAGTCACAGCGCGTTGGATCACGTTGGGGAAGGTAATGCAAGGTGACAGTGAATTCACAGCAYGATTTACATTGCAGCACACTACTCCAAAGGAGAAGCAGGAACAAAAACATACACTGCGATGCAGACTGCGCTCAAGAAATTAGCCAGATTAGCAAGAAAACAATTTGCATTTTAAAGAGATTCTAGTACCTGCCTGTGCATATAATTGGTCTACCCATGTCTGACCCCTAAATATTAAGTTATTCAATTTGAATTTTCTACCACGTCATTTCGTGCACGAAGAAGGGGGAAGGATCTTACACATGGCTCGGGAGGAAGCAGATGCCAGGACTCTTGGGTTCTGCTTCTGACTCAGAACAAGACTTTAGGCAACCCCTTTCTGATGACTTCCCTACGCCTTTGCCAGCGATCATAACAAACTTCACAGGACTTAATTATCAGCTTAATTATAGCATTTTCCATAACCTCCAAAGAAAGATGCCATTACAAATGCATTATCCTCTTACTGAGTGTTTTTTTTTTTCAATTAAAACTGCAAACTAGCAAAGCAGCTAGACCCACAAGCATTTTGTTGGTAGGARTATCCCTTCAGCATTCATTTTCAGCTTCAGAAAACAAAACTTCTTGTCACCAGGATCTCAGGAGACTGCAGCATGAGAATATCAAGAGACAGAGTGAGAACTTACAACTTTGGCTAAAAAATTCTTCTAAAATATCCAACAGCCAGGAGAGAAACACTGCAAAAAAACCCCAGCAGATGGACCCTGGATGTACCCACTGCAACACTGGTTGCTTTCCAGAGTCTATGGCATACCCCAAAATGCCCAGGATYTGCAGCACCCGCTCCACGGTCTGCCATGGGGGCAAATCAAAGACCATGCATGCTCTTTCTTGCCATTCCCATAGATGTTCTCCTTGGGAGACAGYAGTTTATATTCAGAATAAGCAATGTCAGCTTATTCAGAAATTAACTTTTAGACAGTTTTAATGGCTGGAAAGAAGGGGAAGGAGATCCCCCTCTGTGGCACTTGTCCTGTCTGCACAGTGCTCCCCTTTCATGAATCACTGCAGTAAATCCTCAGCAACACTTCTCCAGTAGCAGCCGAAGGGTCCAAATCCCTCAGATGCATCTCAGGCCAATTTATAATGTGTCTGCTGTCCACAGCCACCACCATCCTTCCCTTCCCACAATTTTAACATTAATAACATTAGAAAGATCTCATCACAGTCACAGAATACAACCTGCCAACCATGGGTAACAGAACCTGGGAAGTGATCTAAAATAAAGTGAACAGTAAGGATGGGGTGCAAGAAGATGAAAAGCTGCGGTTTGGAGTAAGTGGGGCTCAGCAGGTATTCTCCTCTCACAGGTTATAAATGCAGAATAGGTCTAGAAATCTATGCTGTGCTGGGCATAAGGACCACATTGATTAAGGCAGTCACGCATTAGTATAACTTCTTTACAAATCAGAGAGGACTAGGAGACCTCATTGGCCATGCAGAGCTTCCCRCGTCCCACCCAAGTCCCACTGTCAGCAGCAACCACTTGAATGAGGGATTGTAGCCCATTGTCCTGCAAAGAAAAATCAAGCTCATCTTATTGTTATTCATGCTATTGTTAATCTACCCTAATTATTTGTTTATTTACTTATAGAGTAGCTCTAGAATTTGTCTCCCCAATAATATTTCCTCTTAATCCCTGCATTATGTCAAAATGTAAGAAGGGGGTKAGCAGTTGTGTGGCTAAAATCTTGCATAACTCAAAGGATGACTCAGAACATCGCTGGCCACAGAGTTACATCAGAGATGAATTAGATCTGCTTATCATTATTAGTCTGTTAGCATCTGCTCTATGCTAAGTGTTTCCAGACATTCACAAAGGTTTATTCCCTGCAAGGCACTGTCTTGACTCGGACAAAGAGCAGGCAAGTGTGATGATAAAAAGGAATAGCAGCTTGGTTCACTGTCAGCAGCCTTGGGAGCATTTGCATGAACCTGGCTAATTTCTCTGCTGCGGATTGGGAAGGCCTAGAGATATCCAAGATCAGGAACGGGTCTCTTGGGACCTTCTACTCCTTCCATGGTGGCCTTCCATGGGTTCTCAAGGCTGGACTTGGATTCTTCTGTTAGATGTGGCCTGTTGCATGTCCAACGCTCACCTTTTGCCAAGTTTGCAGAACATAGTGGAGGGGTAGCTAAAAGCAGCACAAAATCAGGAAACCAAGATCAATTCCAGCTTTCCGAGACATTGTAGCCTAAGGAGGGTTACTTTAGACCTCGCTGCCCCAGAAAGGGATCTTTGAATAGCCATTAGTTATTCAAAATAATGCGATGTGATAAAGGAGAAAACACTAATGCCTCAATGCTCAGAGACGCCTCCAAACACTGAGCTCCCAAGGAGTAAACATAGGGTTAGATGAATATATCTGGGGAGCTGAAGACTCCTAGGAGCCTCCACCGCTTTTGAAAGGGGATTTACTCTCCTAAATCACTTGCACTCAATGCAAATCTATTCACATTGCCAAGATGCTTTCAGAGCCTCAGACCAGAGTGATTTCAAGGTGTTATTTCCTCTTGCTGGTACTGCAGAGTTGAATACAGAAAAACACAGCCATCTCTCTAAGCTGATGTTCTCAGTGTATTCTTATCTCCATCCCAAAGATTTTGTCTTTCCTCATCCTCCCCTYTTCTTTACAGRACGGGAAAAGGGAATGTTGCATTGGCTGGAGGCCATTTAGTAGGATAGAGCAACCACTTGGGGAAGGCAGAGCACAGCAGCCACCTTGCCAGGGCGCCCAAGGAGGGTGTCACTGTGTGACGCCCTCCATCTGTCTTCTTACACCACGTCATCCTCTTGGCCTGATCCCAACTGAGCACAGTCCTAACAGATCTACGGTCAGAAATAGCGTGTCCAGACTGGAAGTGCTGGACAAGGAGAGCACTCGACTAGCAGAGCCTGTGGGAGGTCACGCCGGGGAAGGTGGGAGAGGAGAGGGGGAACAGGGTCGAGCTGGCAGTGGGCTGAAATCTCCCACATCCCAGGTAGGAATGGCCCACGCCAGAGCTCAGGCACTTTCTCCTGTCAGAGCGGCGCTGCTTTGAAGCAGTAATTAAACGCTCGCTGGMGCTGGAGCTTGAACCTGTCTCAC